ATTCGGGGAAGCATACCTTACGGCCCCAGTACGATACAGCCCAACTCCGCCCACTTTTCCCTCCAAAATTGCTGTCGAGCGGGAGGGGTATATATCGAATGAACGGCAAAATTTTCGCACTCAACCCAAAATCCCAGCCTACAACCTAATCCGCTCTCCGTTCCATAAAAAATCATCCCTTCCCTTACTGTAACATTAACGCTACCTCGCGAAATACGACCCCCCCTCTTTTCCACCCCCCAAATACGACCCCCCACCCCCTCGTTGGACTTTGTCCAACGGACGGTTGACCCTGCCTGTGAGGTACTAAACTCTTTGCTTGCATGCGAGTTTAGCCAGCGGCACCCTCGATTAGCGAAATCAATGTCACCAAATTTACTCTCCGCGTTAAACTTGGAATATGGGAACTTTTTTCGTAACGCAACAACAATCAGAACGAAGAGCAAAAAGAAGAAGAAAAGAATGATAAGGAGAACTTTCACAAAATTCACCAACCTTTCCCGATTTTTTAACTTCTTAAGCGCATTTTTCGACAGGCCTGTCGCATTCAACGGAGATTCCCCCTTGTTTTGCGACAGCTCAACAGCTGAGCATTCACCTTAAGGCCTTGAAACTTTACTGAAACTCCCGTGTCAGTTGGAACCACGACATATTGTTGAGACTCACCATTCTCTCCTCCATCATTTTCGATAACTGGTACTTCACTTTCCGTAGATGGTTTTTCACAGGACATTTCAACTGAAAAGAAAAGAGAGATAGGTTAGGCTGCCCTTTCTAACAAACTATAGACGAAATGAGATCGAAAACGGGTTACCGACAAGGGGCACCACATCGCTTATCTGAAGATTGGTTCCGACTCAGGTCTCCTTCTGACCAGAATTCCTCTAATGCGAGGTCACTTGTTGGCAATCCTGGAGAAGTGTACATGGACCGCCACCTCCCTTCCCTTCGTCTTCTCACCTCCCCCCCCCCCTCCCCTACCTAAGACAATGTCACATTCAAAAGTCAAAACAACCCGAAGATGTCAAACATGTGATGCATCTCAAACGGGCTACCTAGGCATTGGTAAGGGCATATGTAGACAGACATATAAGTAGACAAAAGTCCAAAGTTTTTGGAATGTCATTTTGTAACAAATAATATTCATAGCTGGCATTGCTTACTACACCATAGAACCGTCCCCTCTTCGACCACCCCCATCAAACCCGAATCCCAAAGCAACCCGGGAGACGTTCAGTTCCCTGACGGGTCCCATCACCAGAGCTGCGCAATTATTAAAGCCTAAGGCTAGGCTTGGGCTTACCACGACCAAGTAAGAGGTGTCCCAACTAGAAGTGACCTCACCCATGCAACCGACTCCACCCACCGAGGCAAATAATCCCCTGTCGGGATTCCTCAATCGTGGCTCACCCTGCTCCGCATACCCTTTAATGGCAATTATTACTATGAATTTGGATCTGATATGTACAAAGTGGAAATCCTAATTTCACTGAGAAACAGTCCAAAAAACACTTGGTGAAATTTTATTAAACAATGATATTTAAATAACACTTTCAGGCAAAGGAAGGAGGATTTTCTGAAGTTCAATACAGTACTACTCGTCTCAGCATAACTGATAAAACACACACGCATTCAAGTGAAACTACAGAGAGAATGGTAGTGTTACTAATGGAAATACCTTACAACAAACGTTTTGCGCCTGAATCGCAAGTCCTAAATGGAATAATTACTCATGGACAGATACCATTGATGAGTGGATAGCGGCATGGATTGGATTAACGCACCCGCAATACATTCATGTCTTCATCTAAGAGGTCACCAATCGCTAAACAAGGAATACTTGAAGTTCGTTTTATGAACGAACAATCAATTCATTCATTCGCGCGACATAATTAGCTGAAAGTCGGTAATCGATAGTGCACACATCTGGAAATAATTTTCAAAGAAACTTATAAAACTTAAAACAACCAGAATAAGACGATAAGTATAGCACAAAGAAATCCTAGGAACTATGAGAGGCTATGGTGGATCCGTCACGCATCCTTTCAATTTTTTCGGGCAAATAACAACCATCTGTACCTGCCGAAACCCACCAATAGAAGCTTGACCTAATGCATACATAAGCGCGTGGAAATCCTCAATATTCACCTGATATCTACCGATTTCGAAGAAATATGAACTCAGCCTCCCGTTGCTAGTAGAGAGTGCAGTTAATGTTGGACTACCCTCGAGTCGTACAACATTAACTGACAGCTACCTCATGAAATGAAACCATATCATCTAGTAGGTCCAAAGAAGTGGAAGAAACCTTCCGTTTTAGCAGACTGCTGTGGACAGAGGACAGGGAAAAGAGAGGATGCAAATAAAACAAATCTGTGACGATATTCGCAAAATGCACAAAGCAACTTGAGCAAAGCTTAATCTCAAATCACTGATGTGAGCCGGGAGACATTCGAAAGGATGAACACAGCTCACAACTTGTACGCTGACACTTGGCGTACACCTTACCTTACGTCAAACTAGAAATCGTCATGTTATGTAATCTGATTGAATAATACGAGCAACAAAAAAGCCTAGTCACACTATCGCTAATAATCTTCATATCATAAATTCTTGAAGACAAGAAAGCCGGCGAGAGCTGCTAGGGCGGCTCCAAAAGTAATTTTCTGAAGCAGATTTGAATCGTGAAGATAGTAGACTCGTCTCAGATGGGGATATACGGCCATAGTTGCCAGCTGCTCGAAGATAGGACCACTGGCGACACCGATCTGTAAGTGCCAGTACACAACAATGAGTTTTTTTTTCATTTCGCTTCTGCCAGACCAGAAATGTGGCTCGAAAAATGCACCGGTATAGGCGAATAATGAAAGATTCGTTTGACATTACTTCTTCATGGAGCTGTTCCGTCACAAAATTAATTTTTCACATTGCACAACAAAATTTTTGTTCATTCTATGTAAGGCAGTCTAATGGAAAGGTCTGAGAGCGTTCGATTTTTATAGGTAAAATTTCACTAACAAAACATTTCCGAAGTTCAGCACCTTCTTTCACTGCCTGAGACCTTCCTCATCTTGTCATCAGTGTTATGTTGGACAACCAATAATAAAATTAGGAGTCATCACGGGTAAACTAAACTCATTCAAAGCCGCACTGGATAAGTATCTTGCGTCGTAGAGGATTATTTCTCGGAGTTGTTGTATGCCTATGCCTCATTAGATAATAGCCGTCATTTTTGTTGTACTTTTTTGTGTTGTTAATGCTTGTTACTTTATTCTAACTATACCGCATAGGCTCGTGTCTGTGCCAATAAACACTCCTACCCACTCTTGCGATACGTATCATTTGAACGGATTCTCGGCCACCCACCACGCAACATTCCTCAACTCTATCTGCCAGCATTTGCATCCCATAGATTCCGCCCGGCGCGCATCATAATCGGTCAATAAGACACTAAAGTGAGAACTACATTCTCTTAAATAGCAGTTTTATTGTAAATAATACTCTGCGAATGGCGAGGTATGGATATAATGTGCATGTTTTGGCGGTTCTTCAGTTCCCTATCCGAAAAGATATCAGATATTATGTTGGCAAAAAAAGGCTCAAACCAAAATTTTTACGGTCCAAGTGAGCCACTGACTCACGCCTTCACCTGCTATCTCGGAGGTAAAACTGGAATTGCTTGCTTCATTATGCTTCTCAAACTTCATGAAGACAGATTTCCCAAGAGTCTATCAGTATTAAAATCAGTGAATTTTGGGGTATAAAGAGGAAAGAGATAAATAAATCAAATGTAGCAGAACTACCGCACCTGGCTATTTGTAAACCTGATGGGACGCGGTAGTTCAAATTGCCTGCAGAATTCTTCTGGTGACACTTCCCACCGCTGCTCCACCTCCTCGCGTTCCACTTTTGTCGCTATTATGACGCATGGTGTTCGCGTGCTAAATATGCACTGGTAAGATATCTACCAATAATAAAAAACTAAATAAATCAACCGAACGAACTAACCGATAAAAATACTTCTGGTAAATTGTCGCACAAAACGCGAACGATTCAGGATTGCTGATGTCATAAAGGAAGGCTACCACATCAGCAGCTGTCTCGGCGCTGCTTAGCACGTCTTGCGGAGAGAGCACATCAACCTGTAAATTGCGATTACCCATCACTCTCAAGCACTATTTATAGGCAACACTGGAAAACTTACCTCTCTCAGTAACAGATACTTAATCTCTTCCTTCACCTTAACCCGATTAATAACATATGGATAATGCCTTCGACCTGTGTGCATTGCATCCAGCAATCCGCGACCAACTAATGATTGCATGAAAACACTCTGAATTGTTCTAGAATTAGTTTTCTCTTACATTTTTCAACTTTTCTAATTCACTTACCTTCCCAGTATCCTTCGCTCCAACAACAAGACACTGAAAAACCCGTCTGGTGGTACCGCGCTCTGTGAGGTCGATCTTACGCTCACGTGTGATCTTGATAGCATCCGCGGAAGAGCCAGCTCGAGCTTAAACACACCACTATGAGTGTTTCCACAATATCTAATTATTTTAAACGGTTACACTCTCCAATACTCAGCATTCACCATGATCTAAGGCTAGATTTTCTGCTTGTGATAAAATTAACGGGTGAGCAATAAGGTTCAATACCCATATTTGGACAGATATTGGCTACCAGTGTCTGCAGGGGTGTGCCAGCTTGAGTGTAACATGATGTTGCCACTGGCTTAAAGGGAGAGCAGTTTCAAGACGAAGAAGTGGTCGATGCTGTTTTTCAGTGCCTAGCAGTTGTAGCAGTTCTCCTAAAGCATCTCATCTTTTCGCCGTGTCACGTTGTCCATGATAAAGGCTTTGGTCTGCTTCTAACAATCACCGACCTCGGCTGATCGATCCCAGAAGGATATTGAAGCAACGTTAAGGGTTTTTCTTAAGACAGTTGCCGATACATTTGAAAGAACCGACAAGGTACAAAAAATCGGTGGTGGGATCCAACGCGAGGTGAGCGAGTCTGGATGCGAAAAGCTAATACCTCTACGCAGATCATCTCTCAATTCATCACTTTTGCTCAGCTTTCGATATTGTAGCCATGGAGAAGGAGTAGGTATCGCTTAGTTACACATTGACGAGAGGATTAGGAGCCACAAGCGAGGACCAAAGCCGACTGATCCGACAAAAGAGTGCCGCTCAGAGTTCAGTGGTCCTTTCTGTGCACTAGTTACTACGAAGTGTTTCCATGTTGCAATAGCATGATAGCAGAGTCTCCATTTTTATTCTACGAAGAATATGCATTTTTTCTCCACTCCTGCTCATTCTTCATCGTCGTTGAAGAACCGTCCACCTCAGATTTCTCAACATATCGCCTTGTGGTGATATGGATGGTTAACCTTGATCAAAAGCTCCGTAAGCATGTGTTCTGCTCCGCTCGCTCTGTGGCTACAACGAAGTCCTTACAGCAAGTAGTGTCAAGAAGGTGCCAAATCTTTAGACAATTAATTAGATAATGACGGTGTGAGGAGCAATACATATAT